CATTAACATAACGTATAGCTAATTACAGAATACTGCGAACGATCTGCGCCGACCTCGTTAAAAAAAATGGGGTCACGTAATAAAAACCAAACATACCTAGCTAGACTTGTAATGACTAGTTCGTATATTGATAGCTTTTATGGGCATCGAGGAGAACGAGGAGGCAGACGAAGCGGCAAAGGCCACTGCAGTACTAGATTCAGCCCCGTTTTATTCCAAATTATCCTCGAATCATATTCGATACTTTAGCAAGGAACAAGGTTATCAACTCTCGAAAGGCCAGACCCGGAAGAATTTTATGTTTAAAAATTTTATCAAGAGGGGGGGGAGTTATTAAAATAAATTCATTAATTAATATTTATCGGTTTTTTACTAGAATAGAAACATTTATTGCCATACAATTACAATATAAAATATAAATAGTAGTAGAATGTGTAGGGATGCTAAACGTCGCTACATATATAACTCCTTGAATGGTCGCAGTCTTGATCAAATGTGGAAATTCTTAAAGTCACTCGGGATTGGTAAGGCTAATGATGAATCCTCTATTTCGTTTAATCTTAATGATATTAATAACCATTTCTGTAAATTACCCACACATCTTGACGATAATGTCAAACTTACTACTTTAGATCAATTATCAAAAATGCCCAGGCCTGAGTGCGAATCCTTCTCTTTCAGCTTGATTACAGAGTGTGATGTTAAGAGGCACCTCCTTACCATTTCTTCCAAAGCGACGGGTGCTGACGGAGTAGGCACACAAATGTTGCACCCTAATATGGATGAACTTGTATCAATTATTACACATATAATAAATTTTTCTCTTGATACATGTTCTTTTCCAGAACTTTGGAAGAAAGCCTACATTATTCCTGTCCCTAAAACATCTAATCCATCTACTCTAACTGATTTTAGACCTATCTCGATTCTACCCGCTTTGTCAAAGTTATTAGAGCAAATAGTTCATAAACAATTGTCCGTTTATCTGTCTAGTAATAATCTGCTAAGTCCTTTGCAATCTGGTTTCCGCCCTGGTCACAGTACAGTCAGTGCTCTTGTCAAAGTCACTGACGACATACGCCGGGCTATGGACAACCACTCCCTCACACTCCTTGTTCTCCTAGACTTTAGCAGTGCCTTTAACTCTGTAGATTATGATATTCTTTTAAATATCCTTTCATCCCTTAACATATCTCCACCTGTAATCAATTGGTTTAACTCTTATCTTCGGGGTCGAATGCAGTGTGTTCGCCATGGTGAGGATACCTCAGAGTGGTGTGCGGTTACTGCAGGAGTCCCTCAAGGCGGCGTATTATCTCCTCTTCTTTTCTCTGCATTTATCAATGCTATAACTCATGTAATTTTTTCTTCCTACCATCTCTACGCAGACGACTTGCAATTATATTTTCATTTTAATCTTTGCGACATATCTGAAGCAATTGATGATATGAATTTTCAGCTGCTTAAAATATCGGAATGGGCTAGATCCTTTGGGCTTCTAGTTAACCCGCGAAAATCCCAAGCTCTCATTATAGGTAGTCATCGTAATTATAAAATGCTTGATCATGATGCTTTGCCTCCTGTTTACTATGAAAATGAGTTAATTGCATATGCTAAGAAAGCAAAAAACCTAGGTGTTATAATTGATTGCAATTTATCCTGGAATGAACACATTAATGGGGTCAGCAAAAAGCTATGTTTTTCATTTCATTCTTTTAAACGATTGCAAAAATTCTTACCATTTAAGACAAGGCTTACTTTGGCACAAGCTCTACTGTTATCTCTTCTTGATTATGCCGACATATCCTACCTTGATGCAACTGAAGAGCTTTTAAACAAATTAGAGAGATTACAGAATTTGTGTATACGTTTCATATATGGTCTGCGTAAATATGATCATGTCTCCGCTTATAGAACAAAATTGAATTGGCTGCCAATTCGAAGGCGTCGAGACTTTCATATAATGTCGTTTTTATATTCCGTTCTATATAACCCTACTTTTCCCTCCTATCTTCGTGAACGTTTTGATTTTCTAGTTCCCCATGACGTGTCCTCCCGTTCGACGAAATCTCTTATCCTCAAACTCCCTTCACACTCATCTACGCGCTATAGTGGATCTTTTACCGTCCATGCTGCTAGATTGTGGAATTCTCTTCCCATATCTATCCGTGAGAGTCAATCCCTAAATATTTTTAAGAGTAGACTTAAAGAGCATCTTCTATCTCTATGAACATATATTTATTTATCTATATGTGTAGGTATATTGTATGTATATGTGTATGTATATGTAGGTTTATGCATAGATGTAGGTATATATTTATGTATATGTATGTGTGTATTTGTACTATATAATATAATCTAATTAATTTAATTTTGGCTATTTAAAAATTGTACACTGCTGTATCCGCTGACATTGATGCTCCTTTCCACTTTGGGTTTGCTGGAAGAAAACTCTATCAGAGTTAAGCTCGCCTTTGTACTTTTGTTTACCTCTGTCATATTTTTATAACTAATGTGTACAATAAAGTATTAAATAAATGACATATACAAAGTGTCCCACACCCGGTAAAAGGAACCGGCTCAGCTGATGCTGTGAGTGTCCCAGCGCAATGTGAACAGCTGCACAGCGCTGGTTTTCAGCCAGCCTTTCAGCCTCTTAACAAAACAACCAAAGTGCAGGGTACCATTGTAAATTACTTCTTACGTCACTACAAAATCATAAAAAAAATTACATGAAAAATCAAAGTTTGTAATTGTAACTCTGCTTTAACTAAGGAACTAAAGAAAAAAAAAACTCATTCGGTTTCTTTTCTTGCTCCATCATGTTGAATACGCGCTCGCATGAAGCATTAGAGACAGGAATGAAAAGAACAAACGTGATCACCTTTTTCAATTTCGAAAGAAGTCAACTCAGCGTAAATCCGCTCGATTTTCTTCAACGAGATGTGGTTGCATCTCACGCAAAAGTCCAATCTCATAGTACGATTTGTCACTAAGTTAATATCTTTAGAAAAACCGGAGAAATAATTGCACTCCGGGAGATCAGGAGGTTAATTATTATTACCAGAGTCTCCCGGGCAATCCGGGAGAGTTGGCAACCTTAGCAAGGAACAGAGTAGTAAGAAGCAAAAACAATTGCATACATATCATTTTTTTTATACCACGTACTTTGCCAGTTGGTAAACAAGCATACAGCCCGTCTGATGGTACACGTTCGATAGTGCTGGCGACCTTATCATTTTATTGTCACTCATTAATCTAAATTGTCGAAGGCAAAATCGACGAATCTTTATCTCTTAATTTGGAGTTAATATAGGTATGAAATGTAATGATTACAAAATTTTACAAACGTAATCTAATCAAAGGTCGTAATGACGTTTATCACGAAAACACGTAACGAGATACCAGCCATCAATAAATACGGTATATACTCGTAGATACGAGATTTTTTTAGATTTTGTAATATATAGTATTATATCGTCATAGTCGTAGAATACTGACGGATCTGACAAATATTACATATTTAGATCCATCAGTATTCTACCACTATGACGATATCAAAATCATAATATTCTGCTAGTGCATAGAGGATTCGTCGTGTGGTCCCCAGGGTTATAAGGGACCACCCCTTTTATTTCTTTTTCTAGTTTACTAACGGCCCAGTACGTGCTTCGCTACGTATAAAGTGAAATAATAAAAAAATAATAATATTAACATCAATATCGCTGATAATTTACTTTAATCGAAGCACGTCCAAAATGAAATGACCGCATGAATGACATAACAACACGCTTGTACTGTCAACACTGAAAAACGTTGCAATTTGAAAGCACAATCCCCATCATAAAAAAAGTTTGAATTTGACACAAGAACCCCTATTAACAAAATGATCCGCCATTTATTGAATTCATTTGTTACAAAAAAAATGTGATAAATGAAGAACCGCTCGACCGATTTTGTGCAAACTTCACATAAACCATCTACTAAATAGTCCGAACAAAGCCTAAACATTTGGTTTGGATAGATAAGCCCGTTCTTTAGTTATAAAATTACAACGAAAAGTGGCATTAATTTATATATATATATATATATATATATATATATATATATATATATATATATATATATATATATATATATATATATATATATATATATATATATATATATATATATATATATATATATATATATATATATATATATATATAGACATAGGAAGCTGAACTGTCGTACAAGATGATACACTATCTTTTAAATTGAACATTCATTTGATGCATTGTATTGTATTGTAAAATCTTTATTGTACATAATTCACACTGAATACATTAAAAGATTTAATATACAATGGCGGACTTATCCCATAAAGGTATATGTACGATATATCTTATGGTCCTTCAAACCGGATAAAAACTGATGTTGCATGTATTACCAACTATATCCCGCGGTGTTCCTTGCTTGGATTAGAATAAAAAATAGCATAAAAGACGATCACTGTTTTCTAAATGTAATGTTTTTTAACTTGAATATTTTCTAATTTATCATATTAATAACATAATAGAATATAATAAATTATGCCAATATTAAAATAATACAGTATACATTGAATGGATCGCTGACATAGACGATGGATTAAGCAACTCGTTTTCAGCTATCATTTAAAAAATAAAGTGTATCAAAAAGCAATGTGAAATGACAGCATTAGAGGTATAAATGGGTCCATCGATATAGCTCAGTCCTTTTTTCTTTATAGTAAGAATAATATAATTTCTATCATATAAGTTATTAGTATTTAAGCGCGACTTCATCCGTGCGATCGAGATATAATCACTGATCGGGATAAAAAATAGCATATATACTTCACCATCGCATATGGTATGTATATACCAAACTTCATAATGATTGGTTAAGACGTTAAGGCGCTAAGAAGTAAGCAACAAACTCACTTTTACATTTATAATATTAGTACAGACTTAGTGATTATATTAATTAATATTTACTTATTTGGAGGAGTCGTAGCTGTCGTTCAGCGGCGGCAGACTGTGCGTCAGCGTGCTGTCCAGTTTCCTTGCTTCGTGCTCTAAAGTGTACGAGTCCAGTGCCGGGTCCTGAACAGAAATAAAAGTTTGTAAAGAAAGGACACGTTACACTTGTGTAGCTGTGTAGTATATAATTGTTTATTTAAAACATTTACGTATATATGAAATGAGTAATTGAAATATTCAAGAAATCGTTAAAACGTCTATGTATTTCAAAAAATTACAATATAAAATTTTCCTGCGCACGTAACCTTGCATGTGCCCTGTTAACCACTATTTATTTTTCTAAAAATTTCAAAATCTTTGTTTGTTACACGATATATATGCGACTATATGTCTATAGGTGACGGTTACCACTTTCCATCAGGTGGGCCGTCAGCTTGTTTGCCATTCTTGCTAAGTTGTATAAAAAATGTTTAAGTATGATATAATTAGTATAAGTATACATATCACGACAAACATTAAGATTTCCATTTTATAGGTATGTAACTGCATAATATATGGTTGCTACAAGGATCGTGAAGTGTGGAGCAAATTGCGACGACCTACCAATCAGCAGCTACATTCACGTCATTCGTCATATTTTACTGGATTATATGTACCGTCACCTCTTCTTTACATGTATACAAAATATATTGTAAATCCAGTAAACTTGGAAATCTGTAAAGGCAAGCCAACACACACATGCCCAAATAGTAACGATATGTATAATTTATTTAACGTCCCTAACTTTAGAGTTTTATCGTCTTTCATTCATGAACTTCAGTGTCTCAAAAGTTGACTGTAATAACTATGAGATCCTTCTGTTATTTTATGTGGAATAAGAATAAGAATATCTTTATTTCCTTGAACAAAATTAGTCTATGGTACAATATAGCTATGACAGCACACTAGGCAAAGCCTGTCTCGTGGAAGTCAAAGCAAGTAATTTTACAGTTATGGTGCGGCGAACAGGGTTAATCTAATTATATGTTTCATGTGAGTTTGGGTACACGTAGGTGCATGGTTTGTGTGGGCATGTGCGTGTGCGCGTGCGAGTACGCGAGTGTATGTGTGCATGCGTGCGTGCGTGCGTGCGTGCTTGCGTCTGTGCGTGTGTGTGTGTGTGTATAAGCATGTGCATATGTATATAGATGAAGGTAATGAATATACAGTTCCGTGCCATACATTAAAGCACTAGCACCATACCTGCGAGACGGTCCGCAGCGAGTCCCCGAGCGCGGCCCGCAGGCGCTGCACGTCGCGCGCGGCGCGGCCGCTGCGGGACACGTACGCCTGCCGCCGCCGGACCTCCGCCGCCAGCTGCGCGCGCAGCTGCGCCGCCTGCGGCAACAAACGCACTATGGATTAATCTTTTGATGCAGCTCACATTGGCAAATGAGTTAACGACCCGCCTAAAGTAAAGCTATAACCGTCATCTGTAAACGTGGATGTATTATTATATCATTTCACTGGTGAACATAGGCCTTCCCCGTAAGGGGAGTTTTGCCAATAGCTGCCACGCATGGAAGGCGGGTTGTGGGGTAACTAGGCTTTTGGAGATTTTTTCTTATACCACAAAGTTGGCAAACTAGTATACGACTGTATGCTCGTTGCCATTTGTAAAAAGAAGAAGACAACGAGCAGTGACCGTTTACCATCAGTTACGTCTGATGGTAAACGGTCACTGTAGCCTATGGACGCCTGCAACATCAGGGGTGTCACGTGCGCGTTGCCGACCCTGAAGTTGAATAAATTTCAATCCAAACCGAAACATACCACAATTGCATCACAGTAAGTACAAAAATACACGTGCATGAATCCATAGTTACCTGGTTCTCAAGTCGTAGAATCTGTTGTCGATGGTTCGCTTCTCTAGTCTCCAGCAGGCGCTCGGCCTGCAGCGCCGCCTGGCGGTAACGCTCCACATCACTGCGCCGACTGGGCGAGCACGTAGAGAGGTCGCTCAAGTATCTATTGCGGGCTAGCGCTAACTCCGACTCCTAAATACAAACATGTACATTGTAATGCACTAAGTTTACCCAAGTTTTTTTATGCAACTTAGAATGGTAAACAAGCTGACGGTCCACCTGATAGAAAGTGATCGCCTAAAGACATGAGGAGTACCATGGACATAACAGAGTATACTATTTCGCTCACGATACCCCCTATGTGTTGCCATTCCTGAGGACTCAGGTGTTATTCTCTGTACCCTGTAAATTCACTGTCATATCCCACCTTTCAAACCGAAACGCAGCCATGCAAACACAACTGCTTCACGGTAAACACACGAATGAGATAGAGGTGCCCAAGCAAACGACTTTTGTATAAAGTTTTCCTCTTTTTTAAATAACAGTAGAACAGATTCTGAGATACCATTAAATCTTAAAATTGATCTCTAATAGGATGAATGAATAGGCTTGGTGTCTAAGAAACAGGTCACGGCTTAGTTTCGACTCCAGATTTAAATACTTATATTTTTGTATAAAAGTAAACAATCTGTATACATACTGTAATTTGTGGAGGTGAAATAAACTCATTATTATTATATTAAAAATTTAATTTGATATCACAGTAAAATCTTTTTTATTAAGACTAAAACGAACTAATTTTCCAATAGATTTAAGTGAAAAATATTATAAATTTAGTCTATGATTTACCGAAAAATAATAATGACGCAAAATTGTCAATTTAAAAAAATTTCCTGACCACGATCGACTTGTAGATGACGCCATATAGTGTCAAGTCCGCCATTTACACTAAGTGTTAAGATGTTTAAATGTGTGACGTAGGATGTGTGACAGTGACAGATATAGAACGAAAGAGTAAATCATGGAGACAAGTTGTGTGCTAGCGGGATACTTACATTTATTTAAAATCGAAAATACATGCTACCTTGTCAGCGAGCTCCTTCTCCAGCCTCCTGATCTTCATCCGCAGTTCTCTATTCTCGAGTTCCAAGAGGCTAACGTCGGTATATCCCTTGTCCTTCACAGCGGAGTCTTTATAACAGGTGCACACATGAGAGGCCCCACGGATGGAGTCCTTGTAGCAACTACACACGTGAGAGGGGCCCCGGATGGAGTCCTTTGTTGAATCTGGACCTGCAACATTATAAGTCACTGGTGAGTAATACTTATATATTATAATGTTAATTATATATATATGGTATCCTATTTTTACATAGTGCATTCTACAATTTACATTTTAGTATAAAAAAAATGCGTTCATGATTTAATACAGTAAGAAGCAATTTGTCAGTATTTTTCATTTATTTATTAATTATTCATTAATTACAATATTATAACAATAAAACCACTATATCCTCTCAGATGAAAAAAAAAGGATTTTGCAAATCGATTTATTATTGACGCAGTTATAAGGTAACAAACAAAAAAGAAAAATACAACAGAACTGAGAACTTTCTTCGTTTTAAAAATTGCTTGAAAAAAAAAAACAAAAACACACGAGGCGCGAGGTCCTTTACCCACGTGACCCACGCGGCCTATGGATTTCTAACCAATCCTGCAGAAAACTATGTACATATTTTTACAAAATATATACAAAAACTGACTTTGACTCACCAGAATCTAAATCAGAGTAGAACACAGTCTTCTCGGTCCTGTCGTGACTCTTGCTGCGCAAAGCCGAGGGTCTGACCATTCGTCTCTCGGCCTCCAGCTTTCTAACAGTGTCGGCGAGCGCATCGCACTTCGCCTTCAGTTCGGAGCGTTCACGCTGCAGGTTGTGCAGTTCACGTTCTAGTTCGCTGTCGCAGCTCTCTTTGCCATCCCAGGTTGTCATGCGCAGTTGGGATTCGAGGCCTGATCTGTTATAAAATAATATTTTAAATATAAACCTGCAATCTAATGTCAGATCCAGGGGCGGAGGAAGGATTTGTTACGTCCACCTCTATGTGTTCGCCCCTGGAAACCATCGTGCTAAATTCCTGGCGTATTCATCACGATGGGCTAACTGACCTGCCTTTTCATCTAACCTGTCATCTCTCACTGGTGCCCCACCAGCATATACCGTTAGCGTAGTCCCTCCATTGTCATCCATTAAAAAAAATATCAGATCCTACATATTTATTTCACAATTATTTGGGTATTTTTCACAACAAATTAAATTCTACAAAAAAATAATGCCTCATATTTCAATTCTAATAAGAAATGTTGATAACCGACGTCTATTCCTTAAAGTTGGCACATATCGAGAATGTTTTTAATTACTTATGCAATTTTTTTTTATTATACAACTTAGAATGGCAAACAAGCTGACGGCCCACCTGATGTAAAGTGGTAACCGTCGCCTATAGACATGAGCAGTACCATGGACATAACTGAGTATACTGTTTCGCCCATGATACCCCCCCATGCGTTGCCATTCCTGAGGACTCAGGTGTTATTCCTCTGTGCTCTGTAAATTCATTGCCATATCCCACCCTTCAAACCGAAACACAGCCATGCAAACACAACTGCTTCACGGTTGAAACACGAATGGGACAAAGGTACCCAAGCAATCAACTTTTGTACAAAGTCTCCCACTGGTGAAATTCTCTTATTAATATTTCTCGTTTGAAACAGATTTAAACCAATGTTTGTTTAACTAATAATAAAGCATAAAATGTACCATTTCTTCCTTCCCCGTAACTAGTGTAAGAGGCGATTAAGGGAACCTAATAGTCGAGGAATGGGCAACAGCGCTCCTCTTAAAAGCATCAGCAAAACCTAACTGCGGTTACCAACCCGCCAACCTGCCAGGGGGGAAAGGGATTGTTAGTGATAGAGACTGATAATCCCATTGCTATCAATATACCCTATCAGGTCGATCTCCACGCGGTTCCCCCTGGAAACTATCATGGTTAATTCCTGATGAATTCATCATGATGGGCTGACTGACATGTTTTCATTCTCATTTATCACCCTTCACTGGTGCTCCACCGGCGTATCCCATTAGCGCGGGCGGGATTGTCATACCATTTTCATCCAAAAAAAAAAAACCCGCCTGCTGGTTTTGCCAGTATTTGCTACACTTGTAGCAAATACTGGCAAAACCCCTTAAGGAGAAGTCCTATAATCAGCAGCGGACTTTTACCAGCTGGTATGATAATGATTACAAACAGAATTACAAGGTTTGCAACTAAAACTGTCAAATAGTATGCTCAGTGGTAAAAGTGTCAGTGAAAACAAACTCTGAAGGAGAATTGTCAGCAAGTAAATTACAAAATTGAACCGTTAATCGTCAAGGTCGTAACGTTGACCCCTCTCGAGATCATCCCTCTCGTTCCCGCACGTGGGAAACTACTCTACTACTACTACTAAGTGTGAGAGAGGGAGGGAGGTGCGACCGACCTCTGCACCTCGATGTTGGCTAGCTGCGCGGTGAGGCGGTGCACCTGGTCGTCGAGGGTGGCGTTGACCCGCTTCAGTTCACCAAGTGCACCCTTCGCGCTCTCTAACTTCTCGCTCAACACGCGTCTGTCGTTCTCGCATGTAGCTGAAACAGATGTAAAGATCAATTAACATTTTTTTTAATGAGTGATAATAAAATGGGTTACCATTACATTATCACTCAATATTCGAAATTGTACTCTCTGTACTGTGATTGTACTGTGATTGGATGGAGAAGGGATTGTTAGTAATGGGGATTAGTAACCCCATTGCTAGCAATATACCCTCCTGTCAGGTCGACCTCTTCGTGGTTCCCCCTGGAAACCATCGTGATTGATTTATCGTTAGATTCGTCATGGTGGGCTAACTGACCTGCTTCATCCACATCTATCATCCCTCACTGGTGCCCCACCAGCGTATACCGATAGCGTAGGTGGGGTTACCATACCATTATCATACATTAAAAAAAAACTAACCAATACTCTTCTGTATCTGCCTGAGCTTGTCGAGCGCGGTGTGCTCGTTGGTCTTGGCCTCGGCGAGCTGCCGCGTGGCGCGGCCAAGCTCGGCCCGTAGTTCGCTTTCCGCGCCGGCCGCCTTCTGCAGCGCCGCCGACAGCTGTTCCACGGTTCCCTTGAGCGACGTACACCTGTCCTCCAGCGACGCCACCGTGCGAGCGTACCCGTCGCATCGCTCTTGTAATTTCTGTACAAATTGTGTTTATTGGTTTAGTTTCAGGTTATATAGATGCGAGTATCTCCATATGAATGCTTCTAGAAAAACGGCTCTACTTTTTCATAGAATTTTGCGTGATAAATAGTTACGAGTGATTCTGTATTTATTTTGTCTTATAAATTTTGCACCATTTTAATGTATATGAAAAAATACATTTTTTTTTTAATTAAATAATTAAATATAGATACGTCAAATATACTTATATTGTGTGCGTAAGTATATGGAACGTATATAAAAGTATATAGTTTAGTTTACTAAATCAATCTAGCACTGAAAGTTTTATGTCTTTATCTGAATTAGTAAAAATATTACTTTTATAAAGTAGTTTGCTTGGGTAGCTCTATCGCATAAGGGGTATCATGAGCGAAACAGTATACTGTGTTATGTGCATGGTACTGCTCATGTCTATAGGCAACGGTTACCACTTTCCATTAGATGAGCCGTCAGCTTGTTTGCCATTCTAAGTTGTATAAAAAAAAATCGCATTCGTGTTTCTGCCGTGAAGTAATTGTGTTTGCATGGCTGTGTTTTGGTTTGAAGGATAGGATACGGGATATGGGAATGTTCAAGTAGGGCATAGCATAAAAAAGATTGGGAAATACTGATCTATGTGGTGAAAGTGTATGTCATCATCTTCCTACCCTTATCCCAATTATTATTTGGGGTCGGCGTAATATGTTTTCCTCTTCCATTCTTTTCTATACGCAGTCAATTCCGCATTCACTCCCATACCGGCCATATCGTCTTTCACACAGTCCATCCACGTCTTTTTAGGTCTTCCTCTGCTCTTATAGCCATCTACATTCATTGTTAATACTTTTTAAAAAATATGCTCATTCCTGCACATCACGTGCCCATACCAATACAGACGATTACTTCTTAACTTTTCTATCACTGGCGCTACTTTCATACTTCCTCTGACATAATCATTCTTAACTTTGTCTATTCTTGTCACTCCGCACATCCGTGGTGAAAGTGTATGTACTAATGTATATTGTTCGCGTATGTAGCGGATTGTTAGTAATACTGATTTCCAGTTCCATTACTAGCAATATACACTGTCAGGTCAACCTCCACGTGGTCCCCCCTGGAAATCATTGTGATAAATCCCAGACGTATGTATTCATCGTGATGGGCTAACTGACCTGCCTTTTCATTCTCACCTAATATTTCTAACTGGGGGAAAGGGATTGCTAGTAATCAGTTCTAACAGCCCATTGCTAACAATACGCTCTATCAGGTCGACCTTCATACAGTTCCTCCAGGAAACTATTGTGATTAATCCTTTATGAATTCTTCACGATGGGCTAACTAACCTGCCTTCATATTCACCTATCATCTATCACTCACCAGCCCCGCCAGCGTATACCGAAAACGCAAGTCGACCTGATAGGGTATAATGATAGCAATCTCCCCATTACTAACAATCCTTTCCCTCTAGTTAGAAATATTAGGTGAGAATGAAAAAGCAGGCCAGTTAGCCCATCATGATGAATTCATCAGGAATTAACCATGATAGTTTCCAGAGAGAACGTCGAGAAGGTCGACTTGGTTGGGTATATTGCTAGCAATGGGATTCTCAGTGTCCATCAGTAACGATCCCTTTCCCCCCAGTAGCGGCGGCGAACGTGGCGTGCATGCGAGGCGCGGGAGGCGTGCAGTGTGGAGGTACCTTGGCGGCGAGGTCGCGGTCGCGCGCGGCGGCGGCGGCGCGCTGCACGTCGCCCTCCAGCTGCGCGCGCCGCACGTCCAGGCGCGCCGCGCGGCCTGCGCACGCGCACCGCCACCACCGCGTGCAACACACATTTATTACTGTCCCACCGAACTTTCCGTTTCAGCGTTGTACATAATTAATGAACGTATAAAAATAAACAATGCTTTACGTGAATGAAGTCCCATGTTCTATTCCCAGTGGGGCCAATTTATAAAGAGAACTGAAATTTAGAAATTCTAGTATCCTAGCTTGAAGAATAAGCAATTGATGATACCAACTTCCCGATTTTGGATCCGATTTTGAACATTCTTTATTCTTTATCGTACACAAACATAATGATAAAAACATTTAATTTTAAGGGTACTGTACGCCTTTGTACAGTTTATCTCTAGTAAACAATTTCTACCAGCAAACTTTTTCATGTGAAATACGTTTTATTTAAATATAAAAATAGACAGACCAACATTTTGTGTACATTGTAATAAAAACATTTTAAACTATTAGAATAAACTTATTTTTAACATAAATACATATTAATTAAACAAAATGTATAAATATATAACTATTACATAAATCCTCACCAGAGGGAGACTTTGTACAAAAGTCGTTTGCTTGGGTACCTCTGTCCCATTCGTGATTCAACCGTGAAGCAGTTGTGTTTGCATGGCTGTGTTTCGGTTTGAAGGGTGGGATATAGCGTGAATTTACAGGGTACAGAGGAATAACACCTGAGTCCTCAGGAATGACAACGCCTGGGGGGTATCATGGGCGAAACAGTATACTCTGTTATGTCCATGGTACTGCTCATGTCTATAGGCGATGATTACCACTTTCCATCAGTTGGGCCATCAGCTTGTTTGCCATTCTAAGTTGTATAAAAAAAAAATATTACATAAATACAAATATACACAGGTACATATATAAGTATATACATATAATACAGGTACATTGTCACTATGGTAATAAGTATTTTCGATTTTAAAAGTTCTTCTTTAATCTTCTTTAATTTGATGTCTTTATTAATTTAACTAGTATTAGTAAGCATATAAATGACATTCTAGTCTGTTATCAAATCACTTCTTAGTCACTTAGGAAAATATTGTTTCATTGATTTAAAAATTGACGCAGGCAGTTTTTTTTTTTACAACACAGGAGGCAAACGAGCATGCGGCTCACCTGATGGTAAGTGACTACCGCCGCCCATGATCACCCACAACACTTAAGGCATTGCAGGTGTGCTGCCGGCCTTTTAAAAAGGAATATACTCTTTTCTCGAAGGTTATGTTGTCGCATCGGTTCGGAAATACTGCTGCTGGAAGTTGATTCCAAAGAATGGTTGTGCGTGGAAGAAAATGCCTTGAAAAACGCACGGTGGAAGAATAAGTATAATATAATATAATTTAATATGTAATAAATATATATAATAAGTATTATAATTTGTTTTATATTATTTAAAAATAATAAATAAATAAATGACAATGATACTTTCAGCGGCGGCCAGCGCCTCCCGCAACTGTCCCACTTCTTGCACGCGCTCGGCCAGTTGCACGCGGAGACTTTCTGCCTTGTTCTGCAATTATTATTCATATTATTATATATTTTATCAGCCATTAAGTGTCCACTGCTGGGCATAAAGATAAGTATTGCCAGTAATAATCGCATCCAATTTGGTATCAGTTTTTGCGTGATACCGGAATAAACATACAGACGACAGGCAAAATTGACTTGTAGCTAAAGGGCAGAGTCATTGAATTCTTTAAATTATAGTTGAGTACAATGATTACTGGCTCATCTGTAATACTCGTGAACGGGTGCTACTTATGGGGAGTGGACTGCTCATGGTTGCTTGTTTATTTTCTATTTAATAATATATATAGAACTTTTCTTCACTTGAGTAACATCTATATCAATATATATATAAATATTTTAACATGAAACGGTGCTCCGTGTAGGTGCAAACTGAAAATCAGCGCTGAACGCACATCAGTCCAGCAAAAGCTGAGTTTGTTCCTATTGCCAGGCATACAGATACTGCACAATGTATTTATTAATAAATATATGTACATTACAATTTCTGTATATTTGTAAAGAATGGCAATAAATTTATTATTTATTTATTTAATGCTAATTATAGTCACAGTACCCATATAAATGTATATAATACTTTGAAATATCTTACTGATTCTTCTCAGTAAATAAATTTCTGAATTCAGCAGTAGAATCATAAAAAAATCGACAATGGAAAGGAGCTTGTAAACAAGTATATTAAAATAAATACTATTTCTATTCTAAAAATTGTTGTTTTGACATCTATTAGTATTAAAACTACACTAAATACCAGAGGGAGACTTTGTACAAAAGTCGATTGCTTGGATACCTCTGTCCCATTCGTGTTTCAATCGTGAGGCAGCTGTGTTTGCATGGCTGTGTTTCGGTTTGAAGGGTGGGATATGGCGTGAATTTACTGGGTACAGAGGAATAACACCTGAATCCTCAGGAATGGCAACGCACGGAGGGTATCATGGGCGAAATAGTATACTCTGTTATGTCCATGGTACTGCTCATGTCTATAGGCGACTGTTACCGCTTTCCATTAGGTGGACCGTCAGCTTGTTTGCCATTATAAGTTGTATAAAAAAAATCATATTACAACTCACAGCAGTACAGTAGAACTTAAAAATATTTGTATTTTTAAATATCTCCTATGTACAATCATTGTAAATTTTTTTAAATGGTAATAAGATTACCTCGTTCTGTATTTTCTCCTCGGCAACAGAACTGAGCGCCGCTTCGATGCTGGTGATCTTATCTCTCAGGTTGCTGATCTCCACTGTCTTCGTCTGAACGGATTCGTTCTGGAAATCATTACGATATTATCACAATACAGATTCGAGAATAAAAGAAGCAAAATACTGGGCCACCTTATACGACATGACGATTTTTTAAAAAGCATACTAGAAGGAAAAATAGGGGGCAAAAGAGGAAGGGGAAGACCGAGGAATAACTCCATGGGATAGGTAAAGGAAACACTAGATGTCATGTCGTATAGGGAGGTCAAAAGCATGACCTGGAATAGAGCTGGCTGGAAGAGAATGCATTAGTTGCCCCGACAAAAGGAAACTCTTAAATGAAAAACGTTTTATTTAGAAATTATAATAATAATATTTATTGCACCATAAACATAAAAATGTAGTGGGGGAAAGGGATTATTAGTAATGAAGACTGAGAATCCCATTGCTAGCAATATACCCAACCAGGTCGACCTCCTCACGGTTCTACCTGGAAACCACATGGTTAATTCCTGATGAATTCATCATGATGGGCTAACTGGCCTGTTTTCAATCTTATCTATCACCCTTCACCGGTGCTCCACCAGTGTATCCCGTTAACGCAGGCGGGGTTACCATATCATTTTTACCCATAAAAAAAAAACAAAAATGTACAATGTTAATTAGATAATTCAAGTGAGATACAGTTGCATTAAGTACAATTTACAATTTATATTGAACGAGAAAAAAGTCTGCATTACCATCAGTCCCCAAACTAGGCCAGACCTGTATCTTGTGAACTGTGAATATAACTATAGACTATGGAGATATAAAATAAAAATGAATGTGGACGGTTATAAGGGCAAAGGAAGACTTAAAAAAATGGATGGACTGTGTGAAAGATGATATGGCCAGAATTAGAGTGAATGCAGAATTGATTGCGAATAGAGAAGAATAAAACAGAAATACATATTATGCCGACCCAAAACAATAATAGGGATAATGATGGAAAGATGAAGATGATGGTGAAGGAGATATAAAGTTACCAGTGCATTGAGTTGAGCGTCCTTCTGTCCGAGCGCGGTCTGCATGCGAGCTTTCTCCTCCTGTATGGAGCGCAAATTGCTGGTCACCGACTGCAGCTTGCCCTCGCCCTTTCCTTGTTGCTCGGTCGCCTCTTTCAGCTGCTTCTTGAGTACATTCAGTTGAGACTTGTAGTCGTCCTGTAAGAGTGTTTTTAATTATTACTATCATTGTTTTGGCGTTCCATTGTTTCTGCCTATCCTAATAGTGTACAGGCGTGATAGATATGTATGTATATTTTATCCTCTACCAAACCAAACCGAAAAATTAACCCGGTAGGCGTATACCGCGTTATTTTTTTATCGGGATAAAAATTCAAATAATTCGTTAATATTAGTTAAACAATTTCGGAAATTAGTATAAGCGAACACTGTGACACACAATTTTTATATATACAAAAATGATATAATTGGTTATGTATAAACTTGAGTTTGTCTAATTCTTATTGTTTGCAAATTGTCACAGTACACCACTCTACCCGCTGACATTGATGCTCCTTTCCACTTTGGGTTTGTTGGAACAGAACTCTTGTACAGTTAAGCTCACCTTTATACATTTGCTTTCCTCTGTCATATTTTTACGTATTTTTATTTATTTACACTTTATTGTACGCACTGATAATACATAAAATACATATATTATTACTGTGTATAATAAATAAATAAAAAGTATAAATAAATAAATAAATAAAAATAGGGAACATACCGTATTAATTAATTAATTAATCTATTACATACTTCAAATAATATAAAATCTGAATGTGTATAAACTACGCTCACTTTTTAATAAATATAAATAATTATATTTTTATGTTGCCAGTGATAAAAGTTTTTTTTTTTATACTATAAAGGTGGCAAAAAAAAAAGGAAGCCCGTTTGTTGGTAAACGACCACTGCAGCCTATGGATGCCTGCAACACTAAGGGTCACGTGCGCGTTGCTGACCCAAGTATGAATTGTAATGTGACAATAATATTTCTTTACATATTATAATGGATTACCTTTTCACGTTCAATCTGGCAAACTTCGTGCATGAGATTCCTAACGCCTTTCTTGATGAGCTCCGGGTCTACATCTATGATCTCGTTGCGATCTTCAGAGTGATCGCGGCCTAGAAAAAGAAAATAGATAATAGAGGTGGTTCACCTTTCGACTAACTGTAATCACTGTTCTGTTATTATAAGTTGATAGATATGTGTATTTTACTTGTAAAATGCACGAGTAAAAGTAACTATTTGTAGGTGTAGCCGACTAACATACTATTGTCGAAATATCGACCGCAGATGCATGCCACCTGTACACAGGTAACTCGCCTACGCGAAGAAGAAAAGAATTGTTAGTAATGGAGACTAAAAATCCTATTGCTAGCAATATACCCAACCAGGTCGACTTTCTCGCGGTTCCCCCTGGAAACTATCATGGTTAATTTCTAATGAACTCATCATGATGGGCTAACTGGCCTGTTTTCATTCTCATCTATCACCCTTCACTGGTGCTCCGCCAGCGTATCCTGTTAGCGCAGGCGGGGTTACCATACCATTTTCACACAAAAAAAATTACATACTCTATTGCTAGCAACAGAGACTAGATTTTTATCAATTACTAATACATCCTTAGTAGGTGTGTGATACCAATCGTGAACGTGACCGTCACACGGTGATCAAGTCAAGTAATTAACTTAAACAAAATTGGTTTAAGGTTTTTTTTTACATAGAACTTAGAATGGTAAACAAGCCGACGGCCCACCTTATGGAAAGTGGTAATCGAAAATGGAATAGCATTTTTATCTATCAGAAAAAAAAAAACAATATATATGCAAACAAAAGTTGATCGGTGTGACCTCTATGCGGGCTGTATCTGCGGGCGGGGCTGGCGAGGCGGCGGCGTGCGGCGGGCTGCACGCTGCCGTCGGGCTGCACGCCGCACACGCGGCGTAACGCGTGCGCCACCGACGACAGCTTGGCCTCCGCGTCGCGCCGCGCCGCCTCGCACTGGCCCAGCGACGCCTCCAGCGCGCGGCCGCGGCCCTCGCACCCGCCCAGCCGCGCCTGCGCAGGGCCACGCGGCACAACGCAAGCCGCACGTTCAGCGGACAAACATCCACGTGTAAACGTAGCGTATCACATAAGGGGATATGCAGTGCGCTGATGTTATCATGCAATGCGCTAGGGTTGTCAATTTTTTTTTACAAGAAATAAGTACTTTTTTAGTCTGAGAAAAACATTAAATATTATTTTAAAAAAATTAACAGTAATTTATTTATTTAATGTTTTAAATACGTATTTTTTTTAGAGTTTCTCGCGCAACTTATTAATTTACAGTCTCTTTTAAAAACTTCGTGATGCCTCACAACGAATATAGCTAAAATTAAAATAAATGAGGAGCTCATTTTTTTACTAAATTAATTTGCACTGAACGCCCTCTGACTAAATTTAAAAAAATTGTGTAGATGTCTAACTCTTATAGTATTAAACATTTTGATATTTCACAATGCTTAATACTATAAGACATCATTTGAAACCAGTATTTTGTATACTTTATTGTTATTCAACAATAAAAAGCATTATGTAGTGATAAACGTTGGCAACCCCAGCTGTTGCCGATTATCCGCCGACGGCCGAATAGATAATATTGAACGCTAGTATACTGCAGCGTCTTATCAACTTAATGATCAATCTTCCGCGAAGTATGACCAAAAGTAACATGTTGTTTATTTGATATGTTGGTGAATCATCGCAAATGATCGGCGACCGAGAATCGGCGCAATGTATTAGCTGTAGTGTAAACAGCTAATACAACAGTATTTTTTTTTTGGTTACTTAATAAAGTTTTGTTTAATTCCTCTACCATTAGCACATTTGTAACTACCATTCGTTATGACTCGTGAAAAAAATCACATTCCTATGTCATAAATATACTTCTTACTGGCTGATTAATGACATTAATATTACCTTGAGTTCTTGTATCTGTTGAGTAGCATCGGCCAAACAAACTTCCAAATTATGCTTGAGCTCTTCGAGACGGCGTTCCTTGGAGCGGCAATCTTCGAGACGTAACACTAGTTCCTGAAAAAAAAATGACGTGACAACTATTGAATTCTATAAAAGAAATACTTGTAAGGTTAAAAAAAAAATCATATACATAAAAAACTAAATAAACCTTTTACAACACACCTTTACCAGAGGGAGACTTTGTACAAAAGTCGATTGCTTGGATACCTCTGTCCCATTCGTGTTTCAACCGTGAAGCAGTTGTGTTTGCATGGCTGTGTTTCGGTTTGAAGGGATTTACTGGGTACAGAGAAATAACACCTGAGTCCTCAGGAATGGCAACGCATGGGGGGTATCATGGGCGAAACAGTATAGTCTGTTATGTCCATAGTACTACTCATGTCTATAGGCGACGGTTACCACTTTCCATCAGGTGGGCCGTTAGCTTGTTTGCCATTCTAAGTTGTATAAAAAAAAACCTTCAACATCAATTTTCTACTCTTCTTCTAATTCTCAGTATCACGAGTGACGCACTATTAATTGTTAAGTAAGGTCTCCGTCTGCTAGCTCCCCCCGTCTGCGATACCTGGCCTCCGCCACCCTTGTCGCTCCCAAGAACAATACCTGGTCGCTGCCACCTATCTCGCTCCTGTGAGCCTACTACTACGGGAGTACCCTTCCCCCACAACAGTACCTGGTCGCGCGCGCGACAGGCCTCCTCCAGATCGGCGCCCCGCTGCCGTGCGGCGGCGAGGTCCGCGCGGGCAGCGGCCAGCAGTGCCTCCAGCTCAGCACCATGTCGCCGTGCAGTCGCCGCCTCTTGAGACATTCGCTCTCGTTCCTCGCTCTCGTTCTGTAACCTACAGCCAAATATACACTTTAAGTAAGCCTACTATAAATGAAGTAGTATTATATATAAAAGCCTTTAAAAAACAGAACTAATACCTTTTAAAAGGCCAGCATAATGCAACGATTCTTCTGATGTTGCGCGTATCTATGAGCTGCGACAATTACTTACAATTGGGAAAGCCATGTGCTTATTCACTATTCTCTAAAGATAATCCGAACTCCGAAGGATCAACTGCATTATTAAAGACATGAAATCGATCCTTGTGCAGTAGGACTAAACTAATGGCGGTTAGTTGATTGTTAGTTGATAGTTGATGTTGATCCTTTTCAAAACGAATAACCCAAATTCCAAAGGGCCAGCTACTGGTAATAAGCTATTATGACGATGATGAATCCACGAGTGAATTATTAAAGACTAATCGTTTAAAAAAAAAGAAAAAACTGTTCCATGTTGAGTAAGAGTGAGCTATTTACGGTTAACATTGATATTTTCAAAGCAGGCGGTACCAGCTGGGAAGGATTACATGAAATATGCAGATCCTTAATTGGACTACTAACCTGGACTGCAGCTCCTTGATGTCGTGCTGTGCCTGCGCGAGCGCGGCCCGTTCCCGCTTGAGCTGTCCGTCTGTAGCACGCAACTCGCGCGATACATGTTCGCCGCCCGACTCCGCCTCCTTCAGTAGCGACTGCACGCGCGATATTTCCAATTCCAGCGATGTACGGGTCTCCTCGAGGCCTGTATAGTTCGAATATTGTAAATGTATATTATTAGTCTTGATCATCTTGAGCATTTGGATCTTATAGAAACAAAAAAAAATCTTGTTTTCTATTGAAAAATTATACATTTATTTATTACTTGGCAACCATTTATTAGAAGGCTTTTCTTTTTTTTAATGGGTGAAAATAGAGTGGTGACCTCGCCTATATATCTATGGCGCAGATGTCTTGGAAGGTGAAAGATGATAGATGCAAGCAAGAGGGTTGCTAGATCCCATTACTGGTATCCTCACCTATCATCCCTCACTAGTGGCCCGCCAGTGCATACCGTTAGCACAAGCGGGGTTACCATTCCATTACCATCCATTAAAAATGTTTCTTCAGGGTCGGCAACGCGCGCGTAATATTCCTAGTATTACAGGCGTTATGAACGGCTACGGTAACCGCTTACCATCAGGTGGACCGTATGCTAGTTTGCCACCTCAGTGGTATACGACGGTCAGCGGGGAGGATACCTGCGATCTTGTGGTAGGCGTCGTCGCGAGCCCTGGCGGCATCCCGCCGCTCGTGCTCGGCGCGCTTGACGTGGTCGCGCAGGTCGCGGCAGCTGGCGCTGTACTTGTCGCGCTCGGCGCAGCACGCCGTCAGCTGCCGCCGAACATCCGTCAGCTCCTTACGGAGGCTATCCGCTTCGTTCTCCACTGAACGCGTGTGGGACACGGTCATTTCACTTTAAGCACTTCAGTACATTTTTAATCTAAATCTATATTACTATTATAAACCAGAAGGAGACTTTGTACAAAAGTCGATTGCTTGGGTACCTCTGTCCCATTCGTGCTTCAACCATAAAGCAGTTGTATCTGCATAGCTGTGTTTCGGTTTGAAGGGTGGGATATGGCAGCGAATTTACAGGGTACAGAGAAATAACACCTGAGTCCTCAGGAATTGCAACGCATAGGAGATATCATGGGCACAACAGTACACTCTGTTATGTCCATGGTACTGTTCACGTCTATAGGCGACGGTTATCACTTTCCATCAGATGGGCCATTAGCTTGTTTGCCATTCTAAGTTGCATAAAAAAAGTAAGCGCCGAAGCCATGTCCTCTACAGCTGACCATGATGTCTGGCTAAACATCAAATTGTTGATGTTGCTCGCCCCAGCCCTGTCCGTATTTAAAATAATGGCGTCAATGGATAAATTAATAGATGTAGCAGTAGACAGACAACGTACACTCCTTGAGCTTGCGCATGGTGTCCTGCAGCTGCGCGTACGCACTGTCGTACTTGTCCTCGGTGAGCGCGAGCTGCGCGCGCACCTCGCTGCACTCGCGGTTGCACGCCTCCTTCTCCAGGTGTAACTCCTTGATGCGATTCTCGTACCGCGTGCACTCGTCCTCTGCTGTCGCCCTGCGAAACGAGGGAGGGTTGGGATATTTAATACCTAAGATTACACTTGTTGATATACAAGATATAGAAAGGTCTTATTATAATCAAAATTTTGAAATTTCTCGATTTCTGAACTGGACACAGAGAGACTAAATAAAAGCTCGACCACCAGTAGCAATATATTTTTCTCAAACATGCTTGGAAATATGAGCATTATTTTGACAATCTTCTTCGAGATAAATCAAAATTGCCGTACTAGCCAGATACATGCGGGCAGCGGCCGGCAAAAGTTGTATGAAAATCCATATCTGTCGTGTTTTCCGGTCAGATAAATTACTATGTAAACTCATATCTGTCCTGTAATTTAAAAATAGAATGACCTTTTACTTCGAAACATGGCTACCAAGGAGGTGACTAATAAAAGGTTTTATTTAAATTTTGAACTGGCTAGCAAACAGAAAGCTGTTTATTGAAAAAAACAAAACAAAGGAACATGATGGCGCGTGAAAAATTATTGTTCGTTATTCGTCATTGAATTTAAAAAGTTAAATTGTGTTTTTGATTTCCGCGCATTGTTTGAGAAAAGTACTATACAAGCCTTGGCCACAACTAGGCATTGATGGTCTCACGTATTTGTGCCTCGGCTACGCCTCGGCCCACATTTACACGTTCGTTCATCAATTCCTCAGTTGCTGGCCGCTGCAGTAATGTACTAATAATTACATCAGCAATGGTGCACTTGTATGTATGTTATGTGCAAAAACCTTTATTAAAAAGATCGACTATGTAAGTCACATCCGAGCACACCAACGCCTACAACAGCCCACTGTGCAAATAATCAATCAATAATAACCAAGTCAAAGCGGTCGTGGTGACCGAAAACGGTCAAGAAGCATCGTCCATCATGAAATAAAATGATTAGAATAAACTATCATGTCTGAGTTAATAAACATTTTTATTTCTTATTCCTCTTACTTATTAAAAATAATGAATATATATAAATATTTTAGCAGTCATCTTTGACTGCGGCCATTTTTAAATAATGCTCTTAACTTTATCGTTACCTACTTTTTTTCAAGCACTTTTATTTCATACTCATATTAATAAGATTGACAAAATTTACACAATCCACCATCTTGTGACGGTGGCCATTTTATAAATATCACAGTACCTAGAATAACATAATGTACTGTTATCAGAACTAAAGATATAAAAATTTTAGCACAATCTTTTAAGAGGAACCGGTTCTAAATTAATTTGTAAGAAAAGTATAACAAATATAACTGTAGATAGTATGTGACGTACTTGGCCTCTTCGAGCCTGGTCTTAAGCGCGGCGAGGTCGTCCTTGAGGTGCGCGATGTGTCCGCGGTCCTGGTCGGCGCGGGCGGCCCCCTCGCGGCGGCAGCGCTCTAGCTTGGCCTGCTCGGACTCTAACGCCCGTCGGGACTCTTCCAGACGCTCCACTAACGCCTGCTGCTCCTGGTGGGCTGACGGGGAACAACTCCTTGGTATTGGGGGAGAGGATTGTTGAAGATCGTCTTAATACAGTATACATCAAAGTTTACCTCGTCTTACTTTTCTACATTTTTTACATCTGTGTTATTTTTCACTTAAATCTCTCATAAATATCACCATCTATCTTTACGTGAATATTTCTTTATTTTAAACCCTCCGAGCCGGATAAATAATATTTTTGATGTAAAACCGCATTTAGACAATAACAAAAAAAAATTAATAATACCCATAATCAAAGCCTGCTGTTTATCATTCTCTGCTCTGAGCATTGCCTCATCGTGTTGCAATATGAGTTGATCGCGGGACGTCAATAGCTTCTTTTCTCTCTCCCTCGCGACCGCCTCCGATGCTTCTTTCTCGCTTGTCAGCGTCGCTATTGTCTGGTTCAGTTTGTGCTCGAGAGACTGACGTAGTTGTTCCTGTGAATATTAATCTAGTGTTAATAATTTCCTATGTCACTACTTTAGGTTGTTTGATTATATATAATTGTTTATGGTAAAAATAGGGATCACAAAAGATTAAATTAAATATGAATATGTCATGCAGGATATTAATTCTAAATTAAATGTTAAATTGACAAACCAATAGGTCCCATATACGAAAAGGTGCTAAGAAAAGAAAAATTCCTTCTACCTTTGTAATAAATACATGGTCGATTTTGTTAGCATGATTGAATACCGATAACCCACTAATTTTCTTAACCGACAGCGAATAATGCTAGTCCACCGACCTTTTCCTCTTTCAGCTTAGTGATATTCTCTGTGGTGGTCCGGTTGATGTTGGCGATGATCTGCTGGTACTCTGCCTCCTTCTTGCCCGATTGCTGCTGCATGCTGTTCCGAGTATCTCGTAACTTCTTCTCAGAATTCTCCAAGTCTTTTGTCAGCCGGGAAATTTGACCTAAATATTGATTAAAGTTATTATATTTTGGACTGTCTATGTACATTATTTATTCTACAATAAATTTTGAAAAATATGAATGTTTGCTTTTTATGAAATGAAAATGGAATAGTAACTTGCTTGTGCCAATAATATGTGATGGCGGGATACCAGTGACGGATGATAAGTGAGGACGAAGTCAAGTTAGGTGGCTCATCGTAAGGAATTGATTAGGAATAAAACATGACGGTTTCCGAGAGTAAAAGCGTGGAAATCAGCCTGACTGAATAAGAACAGAAATAAATAACAGAACAAATCCTTCCCTATTTCGATACAACTACTAAACTGAGGATGAATCCTCACCTATCATCCAGAGGGAGACTTTGTACAAAAGTCGTTTGCTTGAGCACCTCTGTTCCATTCGTATTTCTACGATGAAGCAGTTGTGATGCATGGCTATGTTTCGGTTTGAAAGGTGGGATATGGCAGTGAATTTGAAGGGCACAGAGGAATAACACCTGAGTCCTCAATAATGGCAACATATGGGGGATATCATGGGCAAAACAATATACTCTGTTATATCCACGGTACTGCTCATGTCTATAGGCGACGGTTACCACTTTCCATCAGGTGGGCCGTTAGTTTGCCATTCTAAGTTGCATTAAAAATTCCCTTACTAGTGCCCTTCCAGCTTATACCATTAACGCAGGCAGGGTTACCATTTCATCTTCATCTCTAAAATAATACCTTTATAGTTCTCTTGCTGCACGAGCATCTCCTGCAGCTCATGCTCCAACTTATTTCTCTTGCTATCCGCGTCTTCCAGCATGTTGGCCGTATCGAACAGTACCGCTTCCAGCGCGTCCTTCTCAGACCTCACGCCTGCCAGCTGTTCTTGCAGATGCTGCTTATCTTTCTCCAAGCTATCTATGAGGATCTGTAACGGTGTAATAATCATAAAAACCCATTAACACTATTGGGCACAGATCGGTTGCCTATTTTAGAGGGGGATCTCTCTCTTAGTTACTTAGTCTCTTACACACTTGACAGAGTGGTTGTGGTTTTAATAGCATCATCATATCAGCAATTAACTGTCCATTGCTGAAAATAGGGTTACCACAAACACCGCCATAACGACCTCAAATGCATTACAGAGAGTTAGTAGATGCCACCTACATCTACTGATTCTCTGTAATGCATTTGTCGTCGTCACTCCATTTAGTGGAAGCGTCCTATACTCCTTTTGCTCGTATGGGATTGACATTCGAGAACCTTTCTTCCCTATTGGTTGTCAGTTCTTCGAGCTATGTGACCAGTCCATTGCCATTTCAGCTTGCTTATCCTTCGGGCTATGTCGGTTACTTTGGTTCTTTTGCGGATATCCACGTTTCGGATTCTATCACGCAAAGAGACTCCATGCATAGCCTTCTCTATAGCCCGCTGAGTAACTTGAAACTTTTACATACAGACAACTGTGTAGGGCATTTTGATAGCAATAATAATTTATGTGAGAAGAATTCAAATTACTGTTACCAGAGGGAGACTTTATACAAAAGTCGATTGTTTGGGTACCTCTGTCCCATTCGTGTTTCAACCGTGAAGCAGTTGTGTTTGCATGGCTGTTTCTTTACTGGGTACAGAGGAATAACACCTGAGTCCTCAGGAATGGCAACGCATGGGGGGTATCATGGGCGAAACAGTATAGTCTGTTATGTCCATGGTACTGCTCATGTCTATAGGCAACGGTTACCACTTTCCATTAGGTGGGCCGTCAGCTTGTTTGCCATTCTAAGTTGTATAAAAGAGGCTGTTTCAACGCCGAAGAAACGGCAGCTCACGTTATCCTGGAATGTGAGGCTGTGGCCCATCAACGTTTAGAAATCCTCGGAACGGTAAGGTCGCTCCGTGAGGCCTGTGAAGAACCCAGGAAGCTTCTGCGCTTCTGGACGGAGCTAGGTTGGCTGCACTAGCCACGACTCATACGCACAATGGCCCAAATGAGAGGCTAAGTGCGGAAAATGGAGTCCCTTTCACATTCACATTCACATTCACATAAGTTGTATAAAAAAGAAAAAAAAACACTAATGTAGTTCAGATCTACGATCAAGTTTGCAAGAGACGACACATCAACTACACTTACCTGTTTCTCCTCGCCGTCCTTAACGTGGTCTTCCAACGCTCGGTTGATGCGACCAATGGTCTCATTGGCCTGCTCCAGTCGCTGCTGGAGCCGTATCATCTCCTCGTTCAGCGTGTCCTTCTTGCGAACCATTGCGGTCAGTTGCGAACTCAGCTCGCCGCGTTCCCTGCCATATTAATACTCATGTTATTCGTCATCGTCATATCTGCCATTAACTGTCCACTGTTGGATATAGGCATCTCCCATAAAGGGGAATTTTGCCAGTAGTTGCCACGCTTGGCAGGCGGGTTGGCAACAACTGATGATGTTTTAAGAGGGACGCTGCTGCCTATCCATTTACCATAAAGTTTTCTTAGCCAAGTCCCTTACTGTTACAACACTCACAAGAAAGAAAGGTGGCCCATTCTATGCCGTGACTTAACGGCATGCGTTGCGGTACATCATTTTGCTCGCACTCGGCAGGGATTCCATCCTCATACCTTAGAACCACAATGGTCACGCACAAAACAAAGGAATTTCCTCCTGTGAATACTCAGGTTGTGGAATGATTTTCCTGCCAAAGCTTACCCTAGACACTACAACATAGGGTTCTTCAAAAAGAGCGTATTAAGGTTCTTAAGGATAGGCAATACGCTTGTCACATCCCTTACAGTGTTACAGGTGTCCATAGGCTGTAATATTCCCGTTTACCATCAGACGAGCCGTATGCTTATTTGCTACCAGAGTTGCATAAAAAAAACATATACCAGAGATACAGGTACCTATGCAGACGACTTTTATATAAACTCTCTGTGTTACATAAAGCGTATGTCGCAACATACCTTATAACCTGTCGCAACTCCAACTCCACTTTTTCCCTCTCGCTCTCAAGGAACTTGATCTTCTCGTACAGCGACACTTTGTCAGCCTCCAACTCCATCCTGTTCTGTTCGGCCGCTAACAACTCTTTCCTTAGCGAGTTCAGATCGCCAAGCTGTTCAGTCGACTGATTCGAGAGCGATGATTTCTCGTCTTCCAACTGTTGGATTTAAAATATTCGCGTATAGAAGAAGATAATAAAAAATATTGGCCACAGATCAATATGATCTGTGGCCAATATTTTTTAAAATAAAATAGTTAATAAAAATTAATATTTAATGTATTGTACATTAGGGAATCATAAATAATAGGTTGGTAATTTTTAACCAATAAATAAATACAGAAATTTTACGATTTTGGCTATCATCATCATCATCATCTCATCCATTATTTGTTCACTGCTGAAGCCTTTCTGATAGACCGCTATAAGGAACGGTCCTGAGCCACTTGCATCCATTGACTTTCTGCAATGCATTTGAGGTCGTCACTCCATTCAATTCATTTCAAAAACCTTTCTTCCCCATCGGTTATTGGTTCTTCGAGCTATGTGACCAGCCCATTGCCACTTCAGCTTACTTATCCTTAGCTATTATGCAAAATAGATTTGTTGGACCGAAGATAAACTATTCAACAGTTCAATAGTTACTTCAAAATTTTGTTTAAATTAGAACAAAAAATTATTAATAGAATTGAATACATGCAAAGTTTGTAAAAAATAAAACACAATGAAAAATAAACAATCGTAATATTACAAATTGGTAAAAAAATATCACTAACATTTGAAATCAAGTCATACTATAATTACATTAATTTGAATACTACAAACATGTTTAACTTCATCCTGCAATTTCTTCTTGTCGCCTTCCAGATTCCTGACAGCCGCCTCCAGCTTCTCCACGAGGTCCTGCAGGTCGCCCCTCTCGATTATATTGCGTTCCAACTCTAGCTCCAGCTCACCTTATGATTAGACAATATTTTTATTATTGTTTATTACAACATAATGTCAAACAAACTAATCGTCCATATGATAAATAATAGGAACTGTCGTTTATTGACATGAATATTATATAGATAAAAATTACATTTTTCAAATTAGGTTTCAATAAACTATTTAAAAATAGAATTAAAAATTAATTTAATAAATACACCTAATTATTTTCTGTAATTATTCTCTATTTCTCTTCCTCTTTTTCTCTTTAGGTACATGAGCAAAATGTCGCATTTTTTTTTTATACAACTTAGAATGGCAAACAAGCTGACGGCCCACCTGATGGAAAGTGGTAACCGTTGCCTATAGACGTGAGCAGTACCATGGACATAAAAGAGTATACTGTTTCGCCCATGATACCCCCCATGCGTTGCCATTCCTGAGGACTCAGATGTTATTCCTCCGTACCCAGTAAATTCACGCCATATCCCACCCTTCAAACCGAAACACAGCCATGCAAACACAACTGCTTCACGGTAGAAACACGAATGGGACAGAGGTACCCAAGCAATCGACTTTAGTACAAAGTCTCCCTCTGGTTATATATTTATTTGAAAATTAAGTTCCTCTTTGAGGTTTAGAACCACTATGCTAAAAAATATTATTGTATATCTATAAAACACCAATCGATGGTACTTATGAATACAGAAATAAATATGCACAGAAACAATATTTGCTTACTTCTATTCTTCTCCATTTGTGATATGATAGCATCAGCCTCGAGCTTCTGCTGGTCGAGCAGGTCTCGGCAGAGAGCAGTTTTGTTCAACTCCTCGCGCACCGTAACCAACTCGGAGCGGAAACGGGCCGAACGCTCCTCTTCTGCCCTGCGCCGTTGAATTTGAATCTTATTATCATAGAGAATAGAATACTATATTTATTACTTAGGAGCAATACATAATATAAAGAGCTACATTCAACAAGTTCAACACACCTTTGATTAAGGTAGCATTTTATAATGTAAGCATATTATCATGTATTTATATTTGATATAAATGTATGCTTTGTTGGCTGTCCTTAAATAAATAAATAAGTTCTATACTTGTAAATAAAATAAATACTAAAGAGTAATAACAATAAGTAATATATTTTTAAGGTCACTTTTACATTTTTGCTTGTTACGAAACACAATTTCGTAGACATAATTTTACATTCTACATGAAAATATTATCAATCTAATGTATCTAAGAAACATTTCACTGTCAATCGTTGTTTTGTAATTAAATATTACCTAAGAACTGATTCCCTAGCTGACGCGTCTCTGTGTAGTTGGTCAACCTCGGAGTTCAATGCTCTCTTCTCATTCTCTAGCGCCTCTATCGTCTTCTCGAGGCGAGAGTTGATCTTCTGCAGTTTCTCATAGTCTGACGTTAGTGATTCGACCTTGAGAAATAAATAATAATAAATTTTATTTATTTAACCAAAGGTACTTATAATACTTAGTTAAATTAAATTAAATTTATTAATGAATTAAAATAGCTTATAGTACCCATATGCTTACACAACAAATAAAGCAATGCTAGATCTTTTAATACCACCACCATTTAAAATGGATTCAGTGATATTTTTACGAGATTTTGCACTTTAATTAAATGCAATTTAAACAGACTTAACGCTTACTTTTTAGGTAGCCGTTAACTTTATTTATAAAGTTTACTTTGACTTCTTTTTCTTAATGCAGCGTTAACTTTATTGATAAAGTTTACTTTGACTTCTTTTTCTTAATGCATGCTCGGCAAAAAGTATGCATACACGAACAGTCTCTCAACACCTTTGACTATTCTAATCAGATATTATAATCGTGAGCACAATATTTCTTACTTTTGTTTATCCTCACCAATCATCCCTCACTGGTTCCTCGCCCATATATATTGATAACGCAGGCGGGGTGACCATTCCATTGTCATCCATTAAAAATAAAAAACTTGTAGAAGGCCAGATCTCTGATTATAAATACATTAATTAATTATAAATTTAAAATTAGGCAATTACCATTGCATTTATTTCGACTCTGTTCCGTTCTAGATTGTTCTTGTCTATCCTGAGTGCTTCCAGGCTCTTTTGCATGGACTCCTTCTCTTGCAACAACTGGCTGAGGTCTGCATTGGCTTGATCTAATTTACCTATTAACAATACCATTATGTTTATAGATCACTTATCAGAAGGGCACGGGTTACAACACGAAACGGGAGAATTTCTCTCAGAGGTAATCTGGGGTCGAAGAGTCAAACAAAATCTTATTGTGCAGTAAAAAATAAATCCTACCTTCAAGATCCTGAACTTTTCCTTCTAAAGAGGCAACGGTGGAGTCAGCCGATTCACAATGTTTTCTACTTGACATCAGTTGCTCTCTTGTATTTTGCAGTTTCACCTAAAAAATATAACACTTATATGAATAAAATAAAAATTGATAATTTTTCTTTTAAGCCCTTTGATATTTACTATGCTATTATTTATCTTAAAAATTTTGTGGTAGATTTATATACAAATTATTTTAAGACTAAAGTTTTAAATAATCAATAAATCTATTTTTTTTTTTAATCAACAATTCATTCATGTGCAAACTTTGGTATAAATGTTCATAAAAAAAATCGTAATAAAAAAAATCACCTGCAACTCATGTATTTGTATCTGGTACTTGTGTAAGGCTGCTTGCACTGCCGATATTGTGCTCTCCGCAAACGCAGTGGCATTCGCAGACTGGGGCACGCTGCGTTTCGGCGATCTACATGGAAAATCAAATATCATAATACAAGTCATCAATAAAGTGGGTAGAATTGATCTCTTTGTCTTTCTCCCACTTTATCTTTCTCTCTCTCTCTCATGTACCTTTCTTTGAGAATGCGGTAATGCCACTAAAATAATAACAGTATTTTTAATGCTCTCAGGTCTCAGAGTTGTCATAAATGTATAAAATTAATAATGAACGAATGCTCTGGCTGAATTATGTCTAAAACTGTAGGCAGTTGGCGCACTATTTATTAATATAATTCAATAATAATTAGGTCTACTGGACTGTCGGTTCTACCTGATTATTTATTCTTACAAGATTATATAATCACAATACAAAAGGGGGCAAAAATATGCAATTACATTTTTACCAGATGGAGACTTACAGAACACGACTTACAGAAGTCGTTTACTTAGGTACCTCTGTCCCATTCGTGTGTGTTGTTGTGTTTGCATGGCTGTGTTTCGGTTTGAAGGGTGGGATATGGCGTGAATTTACTGGGTACAGAGGAATAATACCTAAGTCCTCAGGAACGGCAACGCATGGGGGGTATCATGGGCGAAACAGTATACTCTGTTATGTGCATGGTACTGCTCATGTCTATAGGCGACTGTTACCACTTTCCATCAGGTGGGCCGTCAGCTTATTTCCCATTCTAAATTGTTAAAAACAAAAAAGTATTAAATCAGCAGTTAATTGTCCACTGCTAAACACAGCCTCCCAAATAAATGGAGTCTTATTATGCATTGCCTTTCCTGCAAACTGTGCCGTGTGATCCTGACATAAAATAGGCCACCCCTTCCTTTCCGTGAGTGCCGTAAGAGGAGACAAAGAGAACTTCATGGTCAAGGGATGAGCAGCAGTGTTCCTCTTAAATTATCACCAAAGCCTAATTGCGGTTGCCAGCCCACCAAGCGTGGCAACTACTGGCAAAACCCACAAAGGGGGAGGCCTATGCTCAACAGTGGACAGTTAAATATATTGAATAATTAAAGGAGCATTTTATAATGTAACCACATTATCATGTATTTAAAGTCGATATAAATGTGTGCCTTGTTGGTTGTCCTTAAATAAATAAATAAATAAATCATCATAGCGTGAGTACATTATTTTTAATGTATGAAAATGAAATGGCATTGACATACGCTGGAGTATACCAGATAAACCCATAAATTAACCTCGACCTTTTTTTCGAGAGACCGAACCAGCTATGTCCTTTATAATGATCCGATATAGTGGGCAAAACATATAAAAGTAGATAATTTAAGGTATACCTGTCAGCGAGATGCAAGTGCACAGGCGTAACATCAGCCTCCGAGTCTTGTATGAGCGCGCGTGCAACCTCTTCTAATGCGGATCGCATTACATTAGCTTCTGAGCACATCGTCTCCGCCGCGTCGCATCGCTCCTCCTAAACACAGTCTTATGTCATTTACATAAGGTTTTTTATACAATGGACGTGGTGAAGCAGTCACCATAACCACAGGAAATATAATACTGTACATAGCAAACGAATGAAGATTGTAATAGAATTCAAACTGAAATATAGCATGCAGGCCAGTTAGTTGATGGCAGAATTAATAAGTACTTTAGGAGATGAAATTTATTTGTAAATAATAAACAATATAATTAAAATAGTAAGCCAAAATCCTCAATATGAATAGACAAAATTTTTATTTACTTTTCCCAAGTTTTTAAGTCTAATGAGAGATAATAAAAAATGTAAATTTTAATTATAATAAAAACTCTTTAAATTATATACTACCAAAAAATAATTTGTCTGATAACAAAATTTCCTTTGTCTGTACAGGTAGGCAAACTATTGAAACAACATACCAGACCCTGTAGCTCCCCAAGCAGCCGCTGTATGCGAGCGTCCCGCTCGCGTAGTTCAGCAACCGCGGTGTCCCGCTGGGACGATATGTCCCGCAATTCGACACGCAGCGCCTCCAGCCCCACGTTGGTCGACACTGGTTGAGTGGGATGCATGGCACCATGCTGACTCGTAGGATTTTGAATGTCGGGCTACGCACACATAATGGACGAACAATACATTTTTATTAGTTATGACCAGAATATAATGAGTTAAATAAAATAAACGTTCATATAATCATTAGAAGCACAATTAGAAGTATTAACTAAAATATGTAGTTCTAAATTTACATGTTTTTGTGTGAGTGTGCTTATGTATATATACGTGCGTGTGCCTGAGCGTGTATGTTCTTTTTGCTATAGAATTTTTATTTTATTTTCTTTAAAAAAATACTAATGTATAATTTTGGAATTGACAAATATAAAAAAAATGACAAATATAAACTCAAAACCTATTATAACCGATTTTAAAAGCTCTTTTACCTATTGAAAGCTACATTATCAGTGAGTAATACAGGGTACATATTATTTTAAAAAATTCTGTCTATCTGGCCAGGCGGGTTCAATAGTCTCAATATAAATTAAAATAGATGTAAAACATAGTACAATTACACACCTTCATACCCTGTGCTGCAAATGCGTTAATAGAGTATCCAGTCAATGTGCCAACAAGTTCACGAACAGATGAATCCAAATCGTTCTTCACACAGTACAAGTCTCGTTCAGTGGAAGACTGCAGTTCAGAGAAGTAGCGCTTCACAGAAACTACCTCACGCCAAAGGCTTAGTAGCCGACTGTGTTCGCTTGAATAGTAGTCATTGAAAGCCTGCAATTGTAGCATTAGTAACAATCAGCTCCGTATCAAGGTCAAACTGGGGTATCTGCTGTGGGTGGCACATTTAGGGGGTGTGAAAATCAATATAATAATGCTACCTATTTATATGCATGTGACTTTTTAACAACTTATTTCAAACACTGACAAGACAGAGTACCACTTTTAAGTTTCAGCCCTGGTTCAAAGAAATCATAGATCCGTGATTGGCAACAATATTTTAAACTGAGTTTTTCTTAGATATTTGCTTTATTTAAATAAAAAAAAATATTTGCAGCCAGTTACACAAATTAATGATTTCTTTTTTAATATTTCTTTTCTACCAAAATTCTCTAATTCTAATTTCAAAATGAGATAACTAAACAAATCAAACTAAAGTTTGTTACTGTTATAAAGTTTAATCAAGTACCAGATTTTTGGCACAGAACCTTAGAAAAAGAAGAAAAGTTGGAGTAATAGTCATAAATTACCTACCTCCAAATACCATAGTAAGTATTTACTTAATTTAAAATAAAGTGTTATACCAAGTAAAAAATATCAGAGAAAATATATGTTGCATATATTTTCTCTTATGATTTTATAGTATCATAGCAATCTGATTTTTTAAATAATTCTTCTGTGTGACATATAATAAAATATTATGTTATAAAAAAATTGTACAATGCCATTTATTACTTATAGATATTGAATATAAAATCATCATGCTGCAGACCTGCTCCTCATCTTTCCATTCATCTTCTTTGATGGCCATTTCATCACGTAGTGCCTCCCAATCATTCGTCAACTTCTGAAGATCCCCAGTAAGAGCTTCATTTAGCTGATGGGACTCCTCCAGTTGGTCTCGCAGCAAATTATTCTGGGCCACTAATTTCTGACATCTGTAAATATTTAAAGGTTTATAGTATGTATACATTAAAGAAAATTAACAATATTAGTCTGTCTTGCCTATATAAACTGTGAAGCAACTTGTTTTCTGTCATATAGTATAAAATTAATTTATTTTTGCTGTGATATGGTTGTATTAAGTCATGCCCACTAAAATATCCAGACAGGTAGTGGTGTTGTGAGCCAGATTATTATAAAATTCTTATGTTAATATCTTTTAAGTTTAATTGTAAACTTTCTGTTATGTATGCCTTATAAATATTATCTATAAAGGTATTCCTTTACAATAATAGATAATATTAGGTCCCTTACACATGGAATTAAGTACCAAAAAGTAACATTTACTCAATAGTACTATACATACAAGAATACACAATAATTTAACTATCAAATTTAACTACTTACTTGCGTTTCTCTTCATCAAGCCGCCTCAAAGCTGTCTCTAAATCATTGATACGTTCATCCCTACGGGTATCCGAGCTGGAGGAAGTGGGCAGAGCGGCCGACGCCGGGAGCGCGACGCTAGTCTTGCTAGGCTGCCGATACACATCGCTACGCGGAGTCGTTTCTAGCATCTGGTGCTCTAACTCCGAACATCGCTGTTTGTATTGGAGCACCTATGCAGTGTAATCAATTGTAATAGTTTATATTTGATATCGTCTTCATCAAATATATGTAGGTAATGTATAACATTTTTACAAATGCATAAAAAAGCAAATTTAATAAATATTCAGTTAATGTTTAAGTCATATATATATATTATTAAATGTGAAATATTTGTTCACATTCAAGTTAGCCAAAACATTTTCAAATTCGAATTTGAAATTTGAGTCTTCTATTGTCAGATTGACGCCTGATAGAACAATGACATTGACAAAATAACACAGCATCTGACATTAAATGTCCTTGTTCTTAGACTGAGTATAGAGACATCGTAACCGAAAAAAAATATTCTATCGAAGCAAAGACGGCGAACTAAAAGTTTTTTGATTCCTATCAATTATGTTCAATAATATTCTGAAACTCAGATTTTTCCTCACTAGCACGTTAAGTTTATGAGTAGTAGTAATATATTATACTTTAATGAGAGTTTGTCCATCTGTCTGTGTATGCCTCAAAGTATCCATATTTTGTCTATCTTTTTTTATTATAATAACCCTGCTTGCGCTAACAGGATGTGACTGTCAGGGCATTAATAAATGATGATAGGTGAGGATAAAAAAGTACAGTTTCATTTTTGTTTCGTTACCTTCGCCTGAAGCCTCGATACCAACGCAGCCTGCCCCTGCTGAGCGCGACGGTAAGCGTCAAGCCTGCGCTTATGATCAGCTGCTTCACCAGCGAGACGCGCGCGGAGTTCTTCATTTTGTCTCCGCAAATCGCTGCTCAAACTTCCTACTGGCGAATCCATTTCTGGAGGGCTGTCCAGAGACTTCTGCCCGGGAAAAATAGCACCTAAATAAGTATGTTGGCAAGAGCCAAGATGAGAGAGTTGAGTAGGTACTTTTGGTAGCATAATGTATTCTAATATAAGTATCTAGATAATATAATAGTGTTCAGGTCTTTGAGGAATGCCTACAAATAAAACCAGTCAAATATGACAAACTGAATTAAGAATTTTATTCCATAACCAATAAAATACTTTGTTTGAAATATAGGTAGACCAATGATATCTAAAACTATTCTTTAAACTTTGGTATGGTAATGAGACAGACGGATTGACAAAAAAAGTTGCACCATAAGGATTTCTTTGGTATTCAAACCTAAAAAGGACTTCATGAGCAAGGTGAAATATTGGAATTTATTTACCTCCTTCTTGAGCCGCTGATGGGGAAGGGTACCTGTAGGCCTTCTGCCGACAGGAGCGCGAGCGCTCCGCGGCGTCGTCAGTCCTTCCCTTGCAGGCAACTGGAAAATGGCGAACACTCGTAACTTGTTAGGTAAAACTAATTTAACTTAGGCTTAGAAAAGGCCCGTGTACGCACGCAGTCTGAACGACCTTGAAAGTATTTGATGGTTAGATACTTATTCACATAAACTTGGTAATATTAGGTAGCTAATTTATTAAACAAGTCAAATTAAAACTGTTATAGCATTAAGTGGTCTATTAAGTTCAATTTACGTTGCCAATTTCGGAAATAGCTGTCAAAAATGTAACGATTTCATGTTTCTGAAATTCTTAAAACATGAAAGCGCAAGCGCAGCGTACTTAAAATTAAATAAATGCAATAAAATTAACATAATTTTAAGAATTTACACGAAGCGACATCTTCGTCGATATGAGTAATATTTTTTAAAAGGATTTATTTTAAGCATGATTCTATACAATTTCAGCTTTTAATTTTATAGCCCTATTAAAATTAAAAGACAGGGATTATTGAGAAATATTTTTTTACTGTGTCTATGGTAAACAATGTAAGCAGAAAATTCATCAGTGGGATTCACTCACAGGCATGGAGTAGAAAATTATTAGATTATGTATATTCATAATTTTTAAACACAAGGTGTTATATTTCTGAAGCACACAAAATAATGTAAAAAATAATATGTTATAATAAATAAAAGAGAATTTCATAAAATGACCTGAGAATTAACTTTTTTCCTCTTCCTCTTATGGTTTTTAATTTCAAAATAAAAATTATACGACGATTTAAATTCAAATGACATTTGCACTACAAACTTCAACTTTGCTCGTTTAACACTTACTAAAAATAAATTAACAAAAAGTACACTATTTTAAGAAGACTGGCGATGAAATGCGGCGGACTAACTGGCGGGTATAGGCCTTTAAAAGCAAACTACCTATTCCGCATTTCTGCTATCAGTCCGAGCATCTAATTACCACCTACCCCATAATTCAACAACACCAACTTGCCGACGAGGCGAATGAACGTGTCTCTTTTTAACTCGAATAAATAATGTAATACTTAGATATTTATGGATAAGTTTACATTTCAAACTACTGTAAATAGAAGGAAGTGATTACGAAGTTATGATGATTTTTATCGGATTTTGGATTAAATACATTTCTTATATTAACAACATTTCTTTATCTTATGATATTTTTGCTAATTCTGTACCGATTTTAATGATTTGTACGTTATAGACATAGGTTTAATCTCGTCTCTTTCCTACATAACTTTTTACGACTGAAATAGCTTTGTTATTTTATATCATAGGTTATGCACTCTATTCTGATGTGAAGTTGGTAGTACCATTGAAATACTATTAATTTCACGTACCCAACCATAGATTAAGGAACTATCCTTAGTTTACGGTACTAACCTTTCTATGTACCTAACACGCAAAATTAAAGTTAAAGTTAAATTTTATTATCATAGGACTCGTAATGATTGTTTAAAATCTAACACTTTTACAAATTATAATTATCTGCCTTGTAAATCGTAACTAGAAGCATAAATTAATAAATAAAAAACAAAAATCAATAACGAATATAATAAAAGTAGGATATGTAGAAATAGAAGCAAAGACCATTTGTTTCATAAACAGTTCAGCATAAAAAATTATAATATGAATGAATGAAACCATTTCAGTTTTGTACTTTGCTTTATACCTCTCTGGTTTTTAAGTTTGTAATAAACGCAAGACATATTTTGTCTAAGAAACAGTTTGCTATTTGTTAATATTTTTTATCAATCTGTATAAAGTATTTAAACAAATTACACATAAGTACGTATAACTATGATTATATAATAATAGTTCTATGTACTTATGTACATCACGCTATCAATATGAAATTATATAGGTAGATATTTTAGGACAATTTATTTTCTGTCCTGCAGATATAAATAGGGGAGGCCTATGTTCCGCAGTCAAATTCAAATAAAAATATATTTATTTACATAGACTTGTTTACAAGCACTTTTAAATCGTCAAATGTAATAAATAGTTAACGACTAATATAATATTAATTATAGAATAAAAAAAAAAAAAAAAAACAATTAGGCAGGTATAGCCAAATAGGCCAGCAAAAATAATTTGATCTCTTCAATGACTAGTTCGAACTTATTTTGTTTACACCATCAACAATATTCGTGTATTAGAACAATTACTGTTTAGGTCACAGGTCAATTACCTCAGTTTAATGTATGAAAATAGCTACAAATGTGTAGACTTAACCTTGTATTGAAAAGTGACATAAACAAAACATTCAGGTGTTTAAAGAATAATAAGAATCAACAAAATATTCTGTTGTAACTTACAATAGTGCATCAAAAGAAGTCTTCTTACCTATTTATTTGTTCTAAGCAGGCGAACCCATGATTCACGACTTGAATTCACATAAAAATCCATTCGTTGAGTAATTGATAATACCTCGGTAACCTAGCAACGCAATCAGAATAAAGCAATGTTAAGTCGATGAAATTCATTTATAGTAAGAAGTGAAACGTTTGAAAATTTTATTATTCGTATTTTACCGTTTTCATTTGTTTATGTTATTTATTTAGAATTCTTTACAAAACACTACTTTAGTATTTCAGAGCGCCTGATTGTTAAATGAAGGCAACAAATACCCTTATACAGTTTTGCACTTTAAAAGTAATCAGGAAAATGTTGTTAGATTAGTTACTTAGATTATAAATTATAATTAAATCTGACGTTCATGCGGAAAGTATTTTTTTTTTATTTTAAATCTAGAAGAGATATATTTTTTGCTCACCAATAATGTGTACCTCTCAGAAATGGAGTAGTTGGACTGTTTAAAAATGTACGATCTAGAAGGGCGTTTGTATACCGTTTTGGTTGACTGATCACCCCCTCTGTATTTTAGAACATACTGTTTTGATAGTAGTAAGGCCACGTGCGTATATTCTGTGGGGTGGGGTAACCCCACAAGTTTGTGAAAGTCTAGACACGTTAGGGTAAGTAAACCAGATAAGACTTGTTTATTTGTCGTATTTTACAAGTCTATTTCCAAATGTATAAATAATGTCAGTAAAAGTAATAATACTATAGAAATAATATTTTCAATTTATTTTTTGTACCAGTTTTTACACAAGAACTTTAGAAGCATTAACTTTTTAATCGATTTAAAAAAAAATTGATTATTGCCGTCTTTGGTGGCCTCGATAGAGTAGCAGTTTAATTAATCGCCTCTCCTTCCGACGGTAGGTAGCAGGTTCGATCTGCGCACAATTCAGATATTTCATATAGTTTTCAATATTCATAAGTATGTCCATATGTATTGGTCTAGGAGTGTTCTACGTACAACATGTATATATTTATATCAACAAACAGTATTTAAGAACTCCTATCAATTATCTAGTAGGAATAGTACTGATTCAATTTGAGACTAGATACCTCTATCTAATGCAAAAAAAAAAAAACAATGTAGTATGTAGCGTTTATTCTATTTTTTTCTTTTAATATTGGCAAAGGGCTAATGCACCACTATGCCACTAACAAACAGGTAATGAGATGGAATATTAATTTATGTTAGTGCAATTCCATTCTAATTTTATCAAATTCAAAACAGTTTCCAAACGCAGTGTAGGACGATACCGCACTAGATGGAGTGACGACCTCAAATGCATTGCAGGGAGTCGGTGGATATGGGTGGTTCAAGACCGTTCTTTATGGCAGTCTATGGGGGACGTATATGTTTAGCAGTGGACGGATAATGGCTGAGATGATGTTGATGAAACCAGTTTTAATCTAATTCTTGTCAAATATGTAAAACCGTATTGTTTACATATTAGTATGTGCATATCCTTTCAATTGCATGACCCGTTACAGTACGAGGTCTGTCCGGAAAGTTCGTATAAAAGTGTTCTGGAATGCGAGAAAGAGGAGTGGGGAGGCCAGGTAAGCTCAGGACCCCTTCCTTATGTCCCTAACAATGCTTCAGTTCTGGTCTGACCGCCGTGCGGTGCGAACTGGCTTGTCACGCCATCTGTGAAGTTACCTCTTAACGAAACCCCGTCGGCATGGAGCCCGCTTCCGTTGAAGAGCAGCGCGTCGTAATCAAGTTTCTCTCGAAACTCGGCAAGAATGGCCGTGAAATTTTTGCCGATCTCAGAACAGTTTATGGGGATGATGCTGTGAAGGAACCAACCGTCCACAAGTGGCTAAAAAGATTCAGAGAGGGCCGAGACAATGTTGATTGTTTTTTTCGATGTTCGGGGGATTGTCCATCAAGAATTCGTCCCTCCAGGCCAGACAGTTGATGGAAAATTCTACGTCGATGTGCTCAGACGCCTCAAAGCTCGTGTGGCACGAGTTCGTCCAGAATTGGCGCGAGAGGGGCGTTGGATTCTTCACCACGACAATGCCCCTGCCCACACCTCTCTTGTTGTCCGTGAGTTTTTGAGTAAAAATTCCATTACGGTGACCGAACACCCCCCTATTCGCCGGATTTGGCCCCGTGTGACTTCTTCTTGTTCCCAAAAACCAAATTGGTACTTCGGGGGCGGCATTTGGGGGACATAAATGAGATAAAAAAAGCTACGACGGGGCAGCTGAGAAACCTACAACCAGAGGACTTTCAAGGAGCCTTCTCACAGTGGAAACGGCGTTGGCACAAGTGCATTATGTCACAGGGGGAGTACTTTGAAGGGGATAAAATTGATTTACCTGAATAATTGTAAAATAAAATTTTTAAAAAACTTTTATACGTACTTTCCGGACAAACCTCGTACATATCTTGGTTAGAATAATTTTGCAATTTCTCTAACTGCTGGCCTCTTAAATATTAAACTGTTTTTGTGTAAATCAACTAATGTTTGCGTCCAGTACTGCGTCATGCCGGGTTATTGACCGATATTACAATCCGTCGTGATAACCATGTGACGATAACATTGCCCTATCTTATAAAATTTTGGATAGAAATATTATTACAGTTTCTTGCATAATAATTTTACTTAGAAAGTATATTTACATACATAGAA